CCTTTTCTAACTCTCAAAAGGTTAGGGTTAGGGGTTAGTTTAAGACTAGCCTGCGAACAGGCTCTCAAGCTGAATTGAGAGCCTGCATCGATGACTAATGAATTTAATTTGAATATCTGTGTCTCAAATCGTGACGCGAAATTCTCATTGGTCAGATGCTATAATTTATATGTTTCCGCTGAGCTCTATATATGTCAACTGCTGAAGCACTATGCATAAAAAAACACATTAAATGATCAAATTGGTTTTGGCCATCTTATCTCAAAGCACGAAATGTTCTGATTTGAGAAGACAGTATTTAAAACATTTGAACCTTTGCTTGAATTTCTTATATTTCGAAAAACAGTATAAACTATACGGTCTAAATTTAGTTTGCACGGTCTAAATTTAGTTTGCACGAGAGTTGTAAACAACACCATATAAGGATAGACATTCCATATTTGGAAAAACGAAGGTTACGGGGCAGATATTCAAATTCATTAGTCATCGATGCAGGCTCTCAATTCAGCTTGAGAGCCTGTTCGCAGGCTAGTTTAAGACTAACATTGATTTTTTCACTATATACAGTAATGCATCCGAAGAGGAAGGCTTCAAAACCAAACAATTACGGCAGACCAGGGTGTTAGCCACAAGTAAAAAAAAAATCCGCGTTTACCTGAAATTGGGAAATTTATTTTAGCCTGAAGCCGGGCATTTCTTTGTGGGTCTGGGGGCATGTCGTTGCCCCCTCTCGATTTTTAAGTTTTTTTTGTGTCTTTGAAATGGCGTTTCCCGCATTTTGGGAGTAATTTTGAGCAAATGTAGTTATAAAGTAACATGTTTTTAATGGCGTATTAACAACATCGAATTTCTATAACTATTTTTTGGCTGACCCATATTGGGAAATTGCGACCTCAAGGTAATGGGGAAAACCGCGTTTAACGCGGAATTTTTGACTGTAGCTAACACCCAGGTGCCGACAAACCTAGTAATTTGGCAGATGAACCTGCTGCTGCAGCTGAAATCAACGAGGGAAACGGCGATAAATATAGCTTAAATATTCAAACCTTTACAAAATTATGGGAGTGTAAGTTTCTCTTGAGTATTAGTAACAAGTTTAGAGCAGACATTACAGATCTCAAATTTTGAGGCTATACGCACCCACAAAAATTTTATTTCTAACAAAATTCAATCTTGGTCTTATTTGTTAGATAAAACAGGCAAGCCGAAAAGAAAAGGCGACCAAACACCAGATAAAGTTGCAACACCTGTGCCGTCATCAGCAGGAGTAGTGGATGACAGCGGCCAGGGCAATCAAACAATCACCAATGTATTATCTGGGGAAGACATTGACTCACTTGCTGTCAATATGGAAGAGCTACAAAAGGTTTCTGACGTTTTTTTTTGTCATTTTTCATTTGCTCTTTTCATTTTATAAGAACCTTTTATAAGCAAAATTTTAAGAATACTCTAAGGATATCAGTTCAAGTTTGAGATTTTCTAAAAAAGTTATTATTTTGCTGTAAAATATTAAAATTGACCATTTGCGTAATAGACTAAATTTTGAACTAAACAAGTCTAGACAAAAATTTCATCACAGCTTGAAGGAGCATCACAAAATTGGTAATATTCCAATATTCCAAGAATTGCAATTTTCAGTCATTTTAGATTACAAACCGGAAATTGACAGCCTCGAAGGGTTTTGGGCTGTCAATTTCCCGTTTGTAATCTAAAATGACTGAAAATTGCAAATTTCGCAAGGCTATATTTTCCGCATTTTACAACATTTTGCAACGAAACTTTGGAATATTACTAATTTTGTGATGCACTTTCAAACTGTGATGAAATTTTTGTCTAGACTTGTTTAGTTCAAAATTTAGTCTATTACGCAAATGGTCAATTGGAGGACTCGAAATGACATCTCATACGAATGAATCACTACTTAAAGTGAGGTGAATTAATTTTGATCCAGTCCAAGGACTGACTTAATTTTGATCCAATCGTAGGACTGAATCAATATACTTAATTATCCAGTATGATCATGTGAGCAAAATAAAGCAATATGGTTGGCTAATTTACTCATTAAGTATTAATGAGTTTGAGATATTTAATTTCGTTTATACGAGTTCGCTATTACATGACTCGTGCTATTGTTATTTGTGAAGCTATTTGGGTCACCATACAGAAGACCCAGTATAATTTTACAGTTTAATGCCACAACTTTACAGAGGCGACTTGTCAAGCATCAGTTTGTGCAGGCTAGTCACTCATCAGAACTAAAGCCTGGTTTTCACTGTGACATATAGGTAGATAGTCTCCCTCGCAGCCGCTCTTTGTGTCGAGTGGGGAGAAACCTCGACACAAAGAGCGGCTACGAAGGAGACTAATATGTAGAATGAAGACACAGCATAACTTTAAGTGCACACCAGTGAACTCTATATATTAAATACTGGAACGATAACTCCAGGTGAAAGGTTCTGTGATTTGATGAAGCCAACATATACCAGACAATAAAGTTATCTCTTGTAGGTATAAAACACGCGTGTAATTCGCGTGGGATTCGTGGGAGCTTCCCGATCGATGTTTTCAATTTTTGCACATACTTGCTCAATTTTAGCGTTAAATACCCTACCTGAAAGCTAAAAAATAAACGAAAAGGTAATATTGATGCAACTGCAGTCCATATTATTCTGTGCTTAGTTCAAATCCCTCATATAGATGGTCCAGAAAAACAAAGGTTTGCTGGTGTTTCTATGAGGGTTTTTTTTTCTGAAATTGTTTTTCAATCGAGTTACGGTTCTAGTATTTTACAGAGTTCACTGGTGCACATCAGCTTTTGTTTGGCGCGCTAACCGAAATGATTAAACACGAAGACAATTGCAAACCAAAATTATAGATCATGTTTCTATTGACAAACCTGGACAAAAGTGCTTGACTTTGCTTAAAAAGTTCTGTACCTGATGATCTAAAAAGCAACAATAAATTTCAATCAACGGAGTTGTTCTCATTTGCAGAGAGGCTACAAAACGGCAACCCTCACGTGGACGGACATGTGGCCGACAGACGTTTGACCGACAGGACACTTCACTGATAGCACCTTTTGGCCGAAGTTTATTTTCTAAAATAATGCTGACGGTTGATGTCTGTTTTGATGACTAAAAACAAAAGGATTAATCATTTATTGAATAGAAAGATAGTTGACAAAAGGATGACTCACAGACATTGTTGTACTTTTTTTACTCAAAGCACTGTGGAATTTCTGCCGGAATCTCAGTTGGCCCATCTATGAAAATTTACCAAAGGTTGAATTTACGACTCTGTGTGTGTTATTGCACAACCCGTACATACGTGTGAAAGATAGTAAGATACAATATATGATACAATAAATGTTTCAGGGCACCCCCCCCCCCCCCTAGGCCTGGCCAGAGGGGGTGCAGGGTGTGTGCTATTCTTCATGATAAAGCAAAAAATATTAGAGACAAAATGAGATACAGTAATTTGAGTAACAACATGATGATAAGCGAACTGTGAACAACAATTACAATTCAAATACGGTAGTGAAATAAGACTTTGCAGTAGTCAAGCAAGTTGATGGGCGACACCAGATTCGGCACCAGAGCTGGCAGAGCAGCCCCCCCCCCTCCCCACCTACTAGATCATGCTGGATCCATCCCTGAAATGTTCCACGTTCGTAGTAATTTTATGCATAGTTATTTTATTTGTCGGTGAAATGTCCTATCGGCAAAATGTTTTGTGGGTGAAATGTCCTGTCGGCGAAACGTCTGTCGGCAAAAGTCAGTCTAATGTCTTTCAGCCTAATGGCTGTCTGCCAAACGTCCCTGCACCAACACTCAGGAGGGCCAGGGGCCGGCTTCGAAAGCTGATTAGCTTAACCCTGGGTTAATAAGTTTGATATTTTTTAAGTTATGGTGCTGACAAACACACATTCACACAGACACACATACAAACGCCGACAAAAACAAGCTTAGTAACACTGAAGCAAGAAGAAATGCCTTTCACGGTGTTAGCTACAAGAAAAAATTCGGCGTTTTCACAATTACGTTTAGCAAGCAATTTCACAATTTAGATCAGCCAAAATGTGATCGTAATTTACCTATTATATATATAAAAGATTGTTCAACTTCAAAACTTTGCTCAAGAAAAATTGGGTACCAGATGTTAGTACGCAAGAAAATGTCAGGTGACTTGCACTTGAAAAGTTTCAATTTAGCTCAGCGAGTGCTAGGCCACGAGAACGTCACTTAAGAAAGACGATATTCCTTATAGTCGATTTCAACTTACTTTTCACTAGAATGTTCCGAACTTCGTTCCGAACTTCACAAATTCGTTGCAAAGTTCAAACGCTCATAATGAAACTTACAAATCGGTTTGTAAACTGAGCACTTGATTGGCTGGTTTGATTAGTAGCCAATCAGAGGATTTGTTTACAAACCTGCTTGTGAATTTCATTATGAACTTTTGAACTTTTTAGTGAAACGTAAGTTGAAATCGACAATAACTCCGCATGAAGGCTAACTGAAATTCCCAATTTTCGTTATAAATTGCCGAATTTTTTAATCTTCTGGCCTGCCTCTGTATGCATTTAGACACTTTATACCTTCTCCTTGGGTTTACAGCTGGTCTTTGCTGCGAGCTTGCTTGATCTTTTTCAGCCTTTTCCTCTTTATCCTGTTAATGTTAAACACAAATACATACATATTTACAGAAAGTAGATGGGTTTTTTGCAATAGGCCGTCCACCAATAGTTTGGAAAGGAGTCTTATCGCCCCTATTTAATTAATTTGTCCCTGTCTTGCTAAGCAATTTTCTTGAAAGTTTTTTGCTCATTCCCAGGGATTAATACAATCTTCGATTGGCTTTTGAAACGCATTCTTTCTCCGTAATCCTATTTTCACAATTTACTCTGAGGAAAATGTGGCAAATGCATGTAATAATTAATTGCAAAAGAAAGAAAGTACTTGATTGTTGTATATATATATTCCGATTAAAACCATGTTTTAAAATGTCATATTAAAACCCAATCTTCTTCCGATAAACGGTATAGTATAGACTAAAATGCTTGTATTAATCCCTTGTAAAAATCTCCCGATTTTTAACCAACTCAGCCCTTTTCAGTAACCCACGACCATTATTACAAAAAATGCCCATCTCCCCCCTTTTTTTGTCTTTTTTGAGATGGTTTATCAGCTGCCCCTTAAGGAGGAGGGGGTTTCAAACTATGCCTATATGCGAATCGAACCTGTGGCTCTGTAACTCCGGTGCCAGATAGTGATTTTTTCAACCGTTGCAAAAATGCTTGAGAACTACGAACATGGATCCCACAATAAATAAAAGGAAACTTCAACTTTTATATACGAAGTTTAATCTGAGTTATACCAGTCTATACGGCCACTTTAAGAAAGCTTGAAAAAATCACTATCATGCAAACGATAGTGCTATCTGGCTTTCATACAACCGACCACTGGACTCTGTAGCCCGATATATATGTACTTAATTATACTTACATTGCTGCGGGAGAGTAATTTCCAGATCTGTTCCTGCCTGCTCTGTTGCCACTGTAGAGGTAAACAACACTGAACATTTACATGACAAGGAGTATCAGAAAGAAAATTAAATAAAAACAACTAAACCATCACAAATGAACATTGAAGCTTAGTATAGGTATACCCGGCTTAGTACTAATTTCAAAACTAGCACTACCCTGGATTCCAGAGCCTTCGACAGTAAATAATAAATTGAAATGTTGCGAAGGCTCTGGTTCAACGGGGCGATTCTTTGATTAAGCCGCGCCAATCACAAAACAGAATTAGTGGTTTTAGTACAGACAGATTTAGTGGTTTTAGTACAGATTCTGTACTAAAACCACTAATTCTGTTTTGTGATTGGCGCGGCTTAATCAAAGAATCACCCTGTTGAACCAGAGCCTTCGCGACATTTCAATTTATTATTTACTGTCGAAGGCTCTGGAATCCAGGGTAAACTAGCACTGGATCCTTTTGAATTTAATGAGCCGAATATTAAATCTGTCAAATTATTCACGTAAGCAATTGTTAGGTGTTTAAATTAGCTTAACTATTACTGTCGTTCCAATATATATATATATATATATATATATATATATATATATATATATATATATATATATATATATATATATATATATATATATATATATATATATATATATATATATATTATGGACTGCTTGCTGCAATACTTTTTGACTGAAGGCTTGAGAGGCAAATTGAAGCTGACGCATATCAGAGTAAAACAGCACTGCTGGCGCATCTTGAGTACTGGTCAGCGGTCGACTTCATGAGCAACCACTCTCATATTTCCGCCATATTGCGACCTCGCTTTTTGAGGCCGAGCAAGCAGTCCCGGTACATATATGTCAACGAACATTACTCCTAATTGCCGTTGCTATGGCAACAGTGACGTTTCAATGTGGCGTTATTTTCGGTTTAAAGTAACTTAACTAAAAAATAACATCGGTTTTATATATTATATAATACATACTCTTTGTTTCACAACGACACTTATTTTAATGATCTAATGGGCTGATCTAATGGGCTGCCACTTATTTTAAGAATTAATCTGATTATTTTAATGAATTAATCTGATCTAATGGGCTGCCACTACGACTGTACTCCAAATTTCGAAAGACAAAATGTAGAAGACACAAATACTCACTTCTCGTATTTTCCCGCCAAGTTCGATTGTTTTCGTTTCAAGACCTTTTAAGGTTGGAATAAAATTTTCTAATTCTTGTCTCAATATAAATAATTCTCTAAAACGAAGAAACTTGCATGTGAGCAATAATTACAAATGAACAATTTTGAAGGGAACAACGGCGGCACATCTGGAAGGTATACCGGTCAACATGATTGGTGGATTATAGGTTTTTTGCTGGTCATCTTTTATTTTGCTCATTAGGAAATTCTGCCGAAAATGCTCAATTTCTTGGCGAATATACCGAGAAACGACCACAAATGTTGAAGAGAAAAATTCGTGTATTATGTGTATTCTCTTCAGTTTTTGTAAGAATAATGGTCACCGCGCAGTTTACACGAGAATAGTTAGTATTTAGATGGTGACAAACAAAACAATTGTTTGCCATAACATACCTGTTACAAATGACGAATGAAAGTAAGTTGCGAAACAAACCCGGATATGTGCGTATTTTTTTCATTAAATGCATTATGTGCCCATTCCGTAAGCGGTAATTAATATTTTTCGGTCAGGCAGAAAAACATACCGGTCAATGACCGGTGATCATTGACTGGTAGGCCCATACGTATTTCAAGGCCTGCATGCGGTTAACATATCGAGGTCGAGGGAATTTATTATTAAAATGACCACTCCAAATTAGACTTCAGTTTCCCGTCCACCACTTCCATCCACGAAGAGGCCGAAAGATTTTCCCATTATTGTTTACATTATTTGTGTAAATATTTTATCAGTTGTTTTGTAATCATTTTGGGGATTCGGTACTGCAGTACAGAAAACGATTTAAATTACGACTTCCTACACAATCATTGTTGATGTAAAATTCTGATCTCTGATTTTGTATGTTTGTATATGTACATAATGCAAGCCATTGATATTAAAGTCTACACATGCATGCAAAATGCGACGTTTGAAACAGGTCTAATACCATCATCGTTTGCTTAACGAGCCCTAAGAACGCCACGGAAATTCGTGTATCATAAAGAGATGTCTTGCATTTGAGGCCTGCATGTTAGTGTTATATCGATATCAAACTTCCAAGTTATAGCATACCTTAAAAAATGATAAAACTCTTCATTAATTTTTTCAACTTCTTTCAAAATCATTTTTATAGTGTCCCGCACTGTTCCAATCTTATCTTTCCAGCATGAGCTTTTGTCTGAAAAAAATTAATTCACTTCATTTTAAATAAAGACCATTGATTTATGAGTAAAGGATATTATTTGACAAATATAAAACATTTTTGGTGTTGATATATAGTTATATCAACACGAGTGAAAGTACGTTGGGAACACGAGAAATTCGTTTAGTAAAGCATTGCTGAATTTCGGTAAAGCAGTGCTGTATTTCGTTAAAGCAGTGCTGTATTTCGTTAAAGCAGTGCTGTATTTCGTTCTTTTGGAGTGTGCTGCTTCTAATAACTCGTCTAAATCGCTTGCTTCTAAATATGCAAACCTTCTGGGGGGTTTCTCCGTCGCTTCCAGTGCCAAAAAGTTTAGTGCCAAATTTCGGGAATACGCTTTTGAATTTAAAGAGCGACGAGAAATTTTCCGTGTTGCATGACATTGAGTTATGTCATGCAACACGGCTCTTAGCCAATCAGCGTCCAGAATTTACAAATGCTATATTATAATTAAATTTAATACCTCGGATAAGAAAAGTGAGGTCAACGCATCCAGTGGTCAGAGTGCTCAAACACCACAAGAGAAGTGAGCTTTGCATTATTGCTAATGGAGACCCATATGACACAAGGAAAAAGCGGTGAATTCCCTACCTTAACGCTTCAGCCATTTCGTTATAGTATACGCTTTTCCCGTATTTACTACTATTATTTTGGCAGACATTTTCCCCGCCATTTCCGCATATGATTTTTGAAGGACTCGCGCGGCTAAGAGGCTCTGGGGACGAGGATGAAATATCACATAAACAGACATTTAAGAATTACATGAAAAACTACTGTGTACCTTCTGGTTTTTTCATGCCAGGCTGGTTTCTCATGCTTGCTTTCATGTTTTCATATCTGGACTGAATTTCTTTAGCCCTTCAAGTGAAAATATTATATTTCAGACATGGTTCAAGGAAGAGTTCACTAAAGATATGAACCTCAAAGCAGTCCTCCAGGTAATTAAGCTATTTTTGCCTCAACAAAATAATTGCCGACGTCTTCTGCAATTACGGCTCGTTTGCCTCACCATTTTTTTTCTGCCGAGGAAAACAATGAAATTCCTTTAAATTACTTCAGTAATTACTTCGGAACAACTCGACAAAGACTTCGGCACACCTCGACCAAGGCTTCGGATCTTAGGCACACTTTGGCAGGTCAGTATAAACAGTTTCTAGAGTGTACTGCTATTCGTAATATCTGTCTAAAACACTTACAATTTTATATTTTTTCTTGCTGCGGAAACCTTATGAAACAGACAAGGTGATTGAAAAGTCGATAATCAATACATTCACTTTTGTGTTCTTGTTTACAAAGGTATAAATACCACTATCTAATTCACGCGCTATAATTTAAAATATCGTAACTTTGTCAAGTATAATTTCCATAGTTTTCAGAAAAGCTTTGGTGATATAAAGTATACTCAAGACTAATGATGTCTATTGATGTCTACTTATCGTAGAATTACCTCGGCAATCTTTTTTGCCTCGGCATTTACCGAGCGCCAAGGTCAGTAAATTCCAAGGACTGAACAGAAGTATAGAAAAGCTTTAACTAATAAAAACCCTTTCGCTACAAATCAATCGAAATAAAGGTTATCGTTCCATGTTTCGCGCACCAATATAAGTTAGGGTTAGGGGTTATAGGTATTAGGGTTAGGGGTTGGGTTAGGTTTAAGGTTAAGGATAGGGTTAGGGTGTGTATATATGTGTATGGAGGTATCCAGTTAACTTTTCAGTACACTATCATATCCATTACATAACGTTTACTATATTGGTGCGCGAAACATGGAACGATTACCGAAATAAAGCAAAACAAAAAAACGCGGGAAAATTCTTGACTGAGCCCACACTGTCATGCAATGAATGATCAGCGACATGACCATTTTTCTGTGCAACTTCCGGTCGGGCCTGTTCGCCGTGAACAAATAAAGTTCAAAAAATATTATACACTTAATTAATGTCTGCTCCCGAGGGAAATAGTTTGTTTTGTTTTCCCGAGAGTCTCAATGTTCGTCGAGGGAAAATTGAGATTCCGAGCGAAAACAAAACTGACTATTTCCCGAGGAAACAGGCATTAAGCGTTTTGTTATATAGCGACGAACAAAAATGAACATTCAACAACATTCATACAACAATTGTATTTCGTGACAAAAACTCTATAGTGTAAACGAGTTTAAAATTAAAAGAACCTACTTAAACGGTTTCAGCAGCATATCCTGTTGCCTGTTGTGTATTTTTCTTCTCTTTTACAGTCTTTATTTGAACACAAACTTGGAAAATCGTACTTTCTAATTATGCTAGTTGTTCCGCCATTTTGTTTTGTTGTCGGGCGGTATACATTGCATTTATTTAAAACCACGTGACCACAAATCAACCAATCACGTTTGGTGTTCACCGTAGCTATATAACAATACACATATAATTACCGTTGAGTTAACTGCTGCATTGATCGCTCGGGAGTCTTGCTGACTCGCTCATTGTTTTTCATCGTTGCTATCTTATTTTGCAGTTCACTTTTCCTTTTGAAAATTTCACTGGCCTCTCGCTGAAATTTGAAAACAACAGAATTCATGTTCTCGTTCGAACAGCATACAGAAAGTTGAGACAATTTTCATATAAACTCTCGCTCGTCAACTCTCATACAACTTTGTTCTCGTTTGATCAAGCAATGAAAGTTGAAACACTGACGTAAACCCTCGCTTGTCAATTCTCATGTATGAAACTCTTGTTCTCGTTTGAACAAGCAATGAAAGTTGAGGAAATTATCATGTAAACTCTCGCTTGCAAACTCTCATGCAACTCTTGTTCTCGTTTGATCAACTAGTAATGAAAGTTGAAACTCTCACGCGTAAACTCTCGCTTGTCAATTCTCATGTATGAAACTCTTGTTCTCGTTTGATGAAGCAATGAAAGTTGAGAAAACTCTCATGTAAACTCTCGCTTGTCAACTCTCATGCAACTCTTGTTTTCGTTTGATCAAGCAATGAAAGTTGAAAAAACTCTCATGTAAACTCCCGAATGCAAACTTTCATGCGACTCTTGTTCTCGTTTGATCAAGCAACGAAAGTTGAGGAAACTCTCATGTAAACTCTCGCTTGTTAAGTGTCAACTATCATGCAACTCCTGTTCTCGTTTGATCAAGAAATCAAAGTTGAAAGAACTCTTATGTAAACTCTCGCTTGTTAACTCTATGCAACTCTTGTTCTCATTTGATCAAGCAATGAAAGTTGAGGAAACTCTCATGTAAACTCTCGCTTGTCAACTCGTATAATCTCGCTTCTGTACTCACCAATATATTATTTATATCCACTCGTCTCCAGGCTTCAAAATCCGGCATATCTCTGGTGACACCATTCTTGAATGTTGAACATTTACTCTCGTAGTTTTTCAAGTCAGTACGAAGACTGGGTAATAAAGAAAAGGAAAAGATGGAAAGAATTTTATATAATGGATATCTCTTCAGGGTTCGAATTAGCGGCTCGCTATTCGCAATTTGCGAATGCAAGTTCACTTTTTGCGAACGCAAAATCATCCATTTTGCGACGGAATGGCGTTTTGCAAAAACAATGTGTCAAAGGTTGATTTTCACAATCACTTCGAATGTATTTTACTATAATGGAGTATTTTGCTGACTATTATTGTATTTTGTACTAAAAAGAATGTGTGAAATGAAGGATATGGCTACAATTTCTTCAGAAAATTTACAAAAAAATCGCTACGAAACGAGCGCCATTTTGTTTTTCGCAAGCAGTGTTTCCACTTTTCAAAACTGAAATTTCCTTCAAATTTTCAAGAAGGAAATTTGCGAAATCGATTCTTCCTGTCTAATTCGAACCCTGCTCCTTCCAGGTGATCTTGATACGCGGAAAAGTACTGGCACTAGTTGTCAAATAGAAATCCATTTTATGATTAAAACAACTGAATATCTCCTGTAATATACTTTATTTCGATTCCATATTTTTGCCAGAGCTATAGTTCTCATAACCAAACATAATTACAAAATTTCAACTAGTTTCATAAAGAATAACGAAAGATATAATTGACTGAATACATCAAAATGGATTTCTATTCGGACAACCCTTTCTGAGCGCTGATTGGCTAAAATACAAACACGAGATCACCTGGCTTAGTATATGGACACACCGGATATTTCTCATGCCATGGCGTAATCTTCATGTGCCGCACTTGATTGTATTGGATGCGCGACGCTACAGCGATTGAAATGGCATACAAAATATGATGTTATTGACACGGTTGGGGCGCATGCGCGAGCGAATCCTAAATGTTTAAGAGGAGATCTTTTTGTATAATAATAATTGCGCGTACCATGCGCTCAAAAACTAAAGAGTATATAATATACCACTTGCGGCTATGACTACATTGAAAAATTTTATTTTTCGATACGTTTCTCAATCTGAAAACAAACTTAAAAAGTACGTTTAGTGCTTAATCTGTAAAATAATGCTAAAATTTTTAGATGGTACGCCAAAGAGAAAATGATGTCTGAAGTTCAGTACGTTTTGCATATATTGCTGTAAATATCGCGTCACTAAGAAACTAGCAAGTTCAGAATAAACTTTAAAACTTGAAGCGAATATAATTTTTAATTTCTAAGTTATGTATACCTGAGTTTTTGACGTTTTCTCTTTTTAAAAAATATTTGAGCAAGTATCCTTTGGATCGTTGAAGTTAACATGCGTGTTGAAAATATTTGGTTAACTTAATAAATCTTCTGTAGTTCTGTACGAAATTACAAACAACAGCTCGCGAACGCCATATTGTTTCAGAGCGTGGTGTCCACGCGTGAGCGTGGGCCACGGTGGATCTGCCGTGGGATATTAGAGAGGTTAAGATACCCCGGTTCCGGTTTACGGGTACGAGTATCGCCATTTTGTTTACCAATATTTGCTGATGTCAGCAATTTTACCCGTAATTTCTACCCGTTTCCCCGCGGTAAACCGTGGTCTACACGTAAACGACAAACGGGTACGGGTGTTTTCTGTTTACTATTTTTGGGCCGTTTAAATAGTACAAATTTTCAACATCTTACCCAAATAAATAATGCACATATTCTGATCAAAGTTTTCAACAATTTATGGCGAACCTGAACAGCGAAAGTTGCCATTCTCTGATCGGTTTTCTCACGCCGGAATATCTTGGATTTCTTAAGTTACAAATTATTTCTCGATTTACGGGTACGGGTACGTGTATATCACCCGTACCCGTAAACCGGAATCGGGGTATCTTAACCTCTCTAATATAGTATCTCACGCTGGATTGCGAAATCATGAATTTGAGTGAAATACCGTAAAAAGTCACGTTGTCACGTGGTACAAATGATGTTGTTTCATTGGACAATTTGAATTTGAGGTATTATACAATTACTTTATGGTTTCCGTGTTTGGATGGCCTGATCCAAACACGCGGGAATGTTGCGAGAGTTAAGAAAAGCGAGCGAAATCACGAGCCGAAGGCGAGTGATTTTGCCCGCTTTTCTTAACTCGAGCAACATTCCCAAGTGTTTGGATCAGTCCATCCAAACACGGAAACCATAAAGTAATTGTTTTATAAAATAACAACAACACGATAGTCTTCCGTGTTTGGATGGCCTGATCCAAACACGGCTTTCGACCAATCAGAATACGCGTTATATACATGTTATTTTATAAAATATTTTCAGGTAGATGCAACCCTACCAACGAAAGCTTGTTCATATTATTGACACTAATAATCATATGACACAACCTACAATGACACAACCTACAATGACACAACCTATGACACAACCTACAATGACACAGACAGTTCAGGATTATGAAACGATCATACAGTACCTTTGGTCGAAGAAAGAAAAAACTGATCTCAGTTCTGTAACTCTCTGACCGACTGTCTCACTTCTTACAGTAAATTCCTGACGAGACCACTTGAGCAAACGGATTCTAAATGAATTACGATTACAATTAGCTATTCCAAAGTTGATGAGAGGACTGGGGACGAGTGTTAAAAAGTGCCCAAATTGAGAAATGAGGTAGGTATGAGATAAGTTATAGAACTTGTAGTTAGAGCTCGACAACCTGCGAGAAACGAACCAACGATCTCAGACGTGAAAGGCCCTATTAAATTCGTTCTTAAATTCTTAATATACTTACACCAAAGCTTTCAAGCCACGTATAAGACATTTATTGTTTTCAATTTGTCTGTGGATAAAGAACACACTGTGTTTGTACACTTCCATATGCCGTTTCTGAAAAAGTACACAAAAAAGTCGCGAGTTTCTTATTTTGCAGTGAATTTTTTAACGGAATGCTAATCGTAGCGTTATAGTGTAAACGCGGCCTAAACTCTAATTTGCAGTGGCCTTACATACCGTTGATCGTTTTGAAAATGCTTCGGGATCTTCTACTATGTAATATGAAAAATACAAAAGGAAATAAAATTCAGAAATTAAACACAAATACAGTCTTCGCAGTAATGAATAAGATCAGATCTACAGTATCATGCATGATGGCACTAGCAGAGTTGTTAGCATAGGTGGAATTGTTTTTCTGGGAATTACCTGCAGTGGCGGAAATTCACTTTTTCCGGGGAGGGGGGGCAAAGCCTCCTAAATTTCCGACAAAACTTTCAAATTTCCGACACCCCCATTAGCACTCGAAAAGACTGTTTTTAGCCTTCTTTTAGGTCAAAATCTCCGAAAATTCGTCAATTTTCCGGGGGAGGCGCCCCACCAAGATTTCCGCCACTGATTACCTGGTTTATTGCTCAAAAGTTTCTGCAAAATATTACAATAAATTTGGGAAAAATAAGCAAATTGCCGTTTGTGATTGTCTTATCGTATTGTAGTGTGAAGCAATGTGTCTCTAAGACTGATAAGGCATACAAGATAAATATAACGGACGGTCAACGGACATTAGAGAGGTTAAGATACCCCGGTTCCGGTTTACGGGTACGGGTAATATACACGTACCCGTACCCGTAAATCGGGGAATAACTTGTAACTTAAGAAATGCAAGATACTCCGGCGTGAGAAAACCGATCAGAGAATGGTAACTTTCGCTATTGAGGTTCGCCATAGATTGTTGAAAACTTTGACGAGCATATGTGCATTATTTATTTGGGTAAGATGTTGAATTTTTTTACTATTTAAACGGCCCACAAATAGTAAACAGAAAACACCCGTACCCGTTTGTCTTTTACGTGTAGAGACCATGGTTTACCGCGGGGAAACGGGTAAAAATTACGGGTAAAAATGCTGACATCAGCAAAAATTGGTAAACAAAATGGCGATACTCGTATCCGTAAACCGGGGTATCTTAACCTCTCTAATGACCGGTCACTTTTTTACCTCACCGGTCATTTTAACCGGCCACATTTTCATAATGTGATTGCTGGCGTCTTGAATTAAAAACGTGAAACTCTGATGTATCGAAACAAGTTTCTAATAGTTTGTTTCACTGTTAGTGTAAGCGTATGAATGGCAGAGCTAAAATCAACCGGTCATTTTGACCGAAGACCTATCTCCCGTTATTTTGAGCCCTTGTAGTTACAGGATTAAAAACAAATTTCCTTCTGCAGGCTATATGAATAATTTTGATGAAACTTTCCGCTGTAATTTTGGTATCGAGTTAATAGATTAATTAGGTGCTTAATCATTATATTAATCAGGTATATATTCAGTGATTTAGAATTTAGATATCAAACATCAAAAAATGTGTGTGAAAATTTCTGCAAAAATGTAAATCCAAAAACATTTTCTGGGATTTCCACCTCTGGTTGTCAATCACCAGTGCCAGTCAGTTACCCGACCAAGCAGACACCGCCTGCCCGAGTATTCCTCTGATTGGCTGGCTTATAGCCTTTCGACTTGATTCATGGGAGCGGGGCTCATTGAAAAGTTCTACTATTCTACTTACGCATTTTAAGCAAAATGCTTGGTAGTTCGTGTTTGTATCTCAATTCTAGCTTTGGGTTAAACGCTTTGTTGAACATGAACGCCGTCAAACACTAGAAGAAAAGAAAATACATTTTCATACTCGTGAACTTCTGAGAAAGTCAGAGGCTGGATTATGCCCAACCTGCGATCAGGTTGAGATTAATATGTCCTAGGTAGTCTAAGGGGCCCATGCAGTGTCAAGGGCGGATCAAACCTTGTCTGCAAGGAGGGTGCAGGTTTTCCATTGGGTGGTGCATGAGAAAGCCCTTACTGCCCGCTCTCCTCTGCAGTCTGCAACGTTACTATCCCAACATTACCATTATTTGAGATTTAGCAGTGGAAGTTTCGCTAATCGTTATTTGAAAAGAAGAAAATGTATGGTCAAGCAGATATTTTAGGGTGGTGCTGGACTTCTGGATTTTTGCAACAAGATGTATAGAAAATCCAGGTATTTTTTTGGCCCTGAATATATATATAATTTCTTATGAAATCGTGAATAATAACTCGTGAATTTTTCAAAACATTGAACTTGTCCAATTTTGATCGCCTTGAAAACCCCGCTCATGCATGTACCATACCATACTAGATTTCTGAGAAAACTATATCTTTGTGGCCTTTTTTTGTTCCCCAGGAGCCGCGGTTGTATACAACTCTTAACTACATTTCAACCGTTATTTTGTATATAAATTTAATTGTACAAAGACACGATTTTGATTGTTTAATTTTCGCACTAACTGTAGTTAACTTTTACTACCTTTTTGTACAGCTGACTCCTGCATTGTGTGCGGCTATGTGCGAATTATACGGTTAAAAATCTTACCGCGGTGGCAGACGACAGTGAAGTTAGATCACTTCCATCGTGGGTAAACAATTCCTGATGCTCGCTTGGGATGCCTGTGTCCTTCTCAAGAAGACTTTGTAACTCTTTCAAACTGAGAAAATACAATATGATCAGATTGGAGGAGGGGGTGCTTATTATTCTATAGAAAGGCACAAGATTTTAGTGCATCAAATTTAAGAGCAAGCCTTGCCCAGAAGGACGGCTGCGCCCTTATAAGATGAGCTAAATCGAGTACGCGGACGTGACAAAAAGACAGATATACTTATGCTTTTCTTTTGAATTTGTTTTTCACCTGAATCCTTCTTTGTTGACAAAAATAATCTATATTTTAACCCGTGTTACTGACACTGCGAATTTATGGTGTGTTTTCTTGTCACGTCCGCGTATTAGATTTATCACATCTTTAGCTCTAATAGAGAGTTTAGCTCTAATAAAAGTCGATGTGAACAGGCCCAATTTCTTCTACTGGAAGTCCTGTGCCCTCCCCGAATTGTCCGACGTAGAGAGGAAACCCATGGACATTATGTCCGCCCCCAAGTGAAACTGAGGTTTATTGTTTGTCCGAGCCGAGAGAATTGGTGTCCGACCGAATTTTTGGCCAACGTAAATCAAACTGTACCCCATAGGGTTCAGGACTAGAGGCCTCACAATACATATGTCCGACCCAAACTCAAAATCATCGAACATTTTGTCAGACCGTTCTCTGATATTTTAACCCCTGTCACATGGAAAATAACGCCTTTTTTATTTTCTCATTTGAAAGAAATGTTAAGATTATATATAATACTCTTTTACTGTTTTTACATATCTTGCTTACTTCTATACAAATATTTTGATCGAAAGGAATGAAATGTCCGCCATCTTCAATTTTTGTAGATATGCATGTCACGTCACAACAGGGGTCACGCAATATTTTTATCTAGACAACAACTAATCATTTTGCACTCAAAAGTATACTCCGTCTGCCCTTCGAAATATCAAGATCACTCAAAACCTCAAATTACGGTTGCTATTGAGCAATTTAAAAAAACAAAAAAAACAATAGACACTCCGAAAAACCTTAAAACATCTACCAATCAATATTTGGTCAGCAACGAATACTTATATGGTTATTCCCTGTGGTCACAGACTTTGCCTAAAAGCGTGGCATATAAATATGAGTAATCATGCTTTGAATAGGGATGACGGTGCCTATTTGCCAGAGGAATATATGCATCTCATTGGCAGGTGACGTCATCCCTTGGGTATTTAAGAAGCCACGATTGCATCTTTAGATCACCCCTGATGAAGACACTAGACTGGAGTGTCGAAACGTTGGGTCTTGATTACAATTCGACTGCGCTTTGTAATCATTTATTTAAACCAGAGTAGCGAGCGAAACATGATGGTTATTCCCTGTTGTGACGTCACTGACGCCACAACAGGGAATAACCATTCACGTCACCAAAACTACCGTTAATGAGATCAAAAATGTATCCAAGATGGCGGCAATCTCATTACTTCAAGTAAAAATATTCCAAGAACTAAGCAAGATGCAAAAAATCGGCGAAGGAAAAGTTAAAAAATATAGTTTCAAAATTTCTTTCAAATGAGAAAATAAAAATTTACATTGCCATTTCCCTTCAACACATTAACATGCACACAATATTTATATCCACCAATATAAGGACACGCAGATCTCATTCAGGCTGAATTGACATCAAATTAACATCGTATTGTTATGTTTACAGTCAAGACAAGCAACTTTACCTGAAATTTGAAGTAAGTTCATAAGCGAACTGCTTGTACAAGTCGATACAAAACACTTCAATAACCTTAAAAAGAACGACAAATTATTAGAATTCACGTACGCCCAGTTTATGGACTGGTATAAGAAACGTGCGATTGTGGGATCTTGAATCCTGAAGAATTCACACATTTGTCTCAGCAACAAGATAGTGCTTATGCAACGAAATTTCACACTCAATCGACCTCAACATGCCTTAGTGCTATCAGTCCAATCATGTTCCATGCCAATTAAGACATGTCAGACTTACACATGTAGCGACTAAATTACGGTAATGAATACCTTGGGCTTGAATGGTCATGCAGTGGTACCCAGGGCCTTTCAGAGGGGAAGGGGGGCACTTGGGAAATTTTCCCCGGGCCCCCAGTTTAAGGGGAAATTTGCAAAATTTAAAAGAAACCCCGTTTTTTGATATAAATAATAGTAGGAGAAAAAATTTTCTAAACCACAATTTTACATTTATTGATCGAAAAAAAGGGTGACGTTTGACCCATGTTGTAACAGGAATTTGTCAGGGGAAAAATTTTTCGAACCTTAGTTTACAGGTAAACTACGTGAAGCGTTCCTCTTTTGACTTCATAACTCATTTGGAATTTTCCTCACTAGCTTTGCAAATTTGAAAAACTCTTTGCAAATCCCCTGAGGGAATTTGCAATGTTCCTATCGACTGTTTCAATATTCCAATGCAAACAAAACAGAAAGCATTACGCAATTTGACGTCACAGTGAGAGTAATTCGCATATGAAACATTATTGGTCCACACACACACCGGACGCGATTCGACAACGCGACGCGATTTTTTAGTTTTTGAAAGTTAATAAAACAGCCAATGAGAGCAAATTTTGAAAGATACGTAGATCAAATAACTCAAAATGTTATAGCGTCTTTCAATATTTAGAAAAAATTTAAACTAGGATCGAAGTTAAATAACGGTCATTGAAAATCGAGAAATCGTGTCGTATTGTCAAATCGCGTTCGGTGTGTCTGGACCTTGAGACAGGGTTCGTACATCTTCTCCAATTTAAAATTACATAACTTTTCCATGACTTCCCATGACCATTTTTTTCAAAATCCATGACCTGGAAGTCTGGAATTTCTGAAATTCGTTAATATTTTAACGATAACAGATATAATAAAAGAACGAAATTCACTTCGCTCTTGCAAAAATCCGTTATATAATAACAATTCATATTATTGTTATGACTGGTAAATTGAACTAAGTAAAATACTTTGTTAATGTTATGTAAAATTTCAATTTTCCATGACTTTCCATGACTAAAATGGATTTTCCAGGATTTCCAGGCCTGGATTTTGGAATATTGAAATTCCACGACTTTCCAGGTTTTCCAGGACCCGTACGAACCCTGTTGAGATTTGTGGCAGCCATCTTGATGTGATTTTACTAGTTATTCACGGGCAAATTTAAGATGGAAGAGAGGCTACTGTTGATAAATTTCTGTACAGACAATGTTTATCTTTTCCCACCATTAACCAGAAACTGTAAGAACATGCCACCAACACTATCCAATTCTAGTTGCAGATCAGTGCTAAGCATACCTTAGTGTTGCGAATTTCATCAACACAGTCCCGCCATGACCTCGTTCCTGCGTCAGTTTCACACGAGCCTCGTCTGGAAGGGTTTCCATCCAACAACAGACGAAACAACTTTTCAAATTTTCGCTGAAGAACGCTAAAATTATAAACGTATAAAATATTTAGGGGAAAATGTGATGCAAGTTTGGTGTCACTACTTTTACAGTACGTTAAGGCACACTGTATATTGGTTTTAGAAAGCTTTATACTAAAAATGGTGTAATGGGGACGATCGTCTCCATTTTGGTTGTCAGAAAATTTTGGGCTGGTAACAGTGGAAAATGAAACAAAAACTAGATCGGTAAGTCTATTTTCGTACATTAAGATTTTCTTGAAATTTCCTTGAAAATAGAAACACGGTATATATCAATACTGCTTTTATGAAGTAAAGACGCCTAGTGACAATAATTCAATTAAGGTTGTAATTCAAAGCGGAAAAGTCGAATACGAGCGCGAAAGGCTGCTGGGAATCGCTATGAAAATTCATTAATTTGTTAGCAATTCCCAGCAGCCTTTCGCGCTCGTATTCGACTTTTCTGCTTTGTTCGTGGACAACCTTAATTGAAATAGCTGTGTACTGTATTCATCTTGTAAGGTGTGTTTTAACTAACGCTAATAACTTATCAGCATTTCTTACGACTTAATTTGATATGCTAACTTCAGCAACATACATACAATTATAATACATATGGCCTAGCCGACCACAGATTAGCCTGTACAATTAATCAATTCAATGAATTCTGTTTAATTGTTAAACACAGCTAATTATTTCCAGGTCTGGTCACGTGAAGCGTTGATTCGTCCCGCGCGATCATCATGCACTACGCAGTGGTGCAGCACATATATCTCTTAATATTATTTCTATGATTTGTACGCAGTGTATTCTACCGTCCCATACAGGGCCGTAGCGACCGGGGTATGTGTGGGGGGGGGATGCAACACCCCCCTGATAATTGCTCATGAGCAGTTTCAGGTAGATTTGCAGTAGATTTTCAGGTAAATTGAATTTGGAAGAATAGCTATATCTCTGAAAAAAAATTTAATTTTTTGAGAAAAATGAAGTTATGTTCGGAAAAATTTCCGTATACTTTCGGAAAAATTATGATATGTCCGGAAATTTTTTTTGTATGTTTGCGAAAATAACGATATATTAAGAAAAATTTTTGTATGTCCGGAAAATTTTTTTTGGCAAATCTAACCTTACACCCCCCTGAGGCAAGATCCTCGCAACGGCCCTGGTCCCATAAAAGTCAGTGAAGTCACATACGGCATTAAATTTTATTCTCACCAATTTAGTCGGTTGACTTCGGGAAGTTTATCACGATATACCAACATGTCTAGAAAATGCAGATCATATAGAATTACATTAGCCTGTAGCCAGCTTATATTCAAAGCTTAATACATGATTAATACATTATAGTCTACTTCTCGCGCATCGAGAATGTTTATAACAATAAATTTCCTGCACGCCTTTAAATATATATACTCAGTTTCATATAATAATATTAGATACTATGCTTTTGATGTTACTCTGAGTGTATATTCACACCGGGCAGGCTTGAGAAATATGCCTGGCCACGGTGGCCAGGCATATTTTTCAAGCCTGCCCGGTGTGGATATACCACTCAGAGTAACATCACAAGCATCTTATTCACCTGAGTACACTACACGAACACAGCAAATATAACGTTAGAAACTATTAATAATTGCATGCTTTCATTAGTCGAGAGCCATGATCTACAGTATTAGAGGACAGATGCAGGATTTACGTCACACGTGACGTAACTTAAAGTAGCCAATAGCATTCCCTTATTAGTATATAGATCATGTACGCGTGATATTTGTAAAATTTCGACTTTTTCAAATTTCCAAATGTGTGGGTGGATAAAATGTAAGCTATTTACCTGTTTAATTCGGGGGGTTTATTTTATTATATAAAACAAATAGATAAGATTTTGCCGATGTCTGTTCAGTTATAAATACATGCAGTATGACGTCATAATATGGGAAAAACAAAATGACGCACTCGCCTCGGTGGCTCGCGTGCAGCCACTTTTTGGTTCTGCCCACACTATGACGTCATATTGTGTATCTATAACTAAACAGACAACGGCAAAATCTTATCTATTTGTTAAGTAGATGCATTGCAGCGCGGACTAACATGGCCAGCCGAAACACATCATGCTACGTAATTTTAAAAAATATGAAAAACCTTGTCCATTGTTCGAGAAAACCAATTTTTGTCTTGCCCGGACGTTTGTCCCTTCAAGCAAAATAATTATTTGCAGGCGTGAGTATAGTTGGGTATAGATGCATAACCATATACATGCTGTCATGCCTCACTTTGTCTTATAAAGTTCAAGAGTACATGATAACTTATTATAGAATTATTCAGAAACAGTTACCATTTTCATCTTCGAAAGTGACAGCAATGAACTGCTGTTCTTTACTTCGCATACTTTCATATAGTTCTTGACAGTGTCCAGGAAATGGTCGGTTTCCCGTACAACATTCATATAACAATATTCCAAAGCTCCAAAGATCTACCTAAAAACAACACAACAATTAGGAGGAGAATCTTTTGTATGTTACGTAACACGCGCTCAAAACTAATGAGTATACTTTTCCACTTGGCTAACGACTATACTGCATGTATATTCAATTTTTAAAGTTTTTTATACGTTTCTCAAGCCGCAAACAAATTTAAAAAGTATGTTTGGTGCTTTATCTGCGAAACGATGCTGAAATGAAGAGAGTTTAGATGGTACGCCAAAGAAAAAATTATGTTAGTTCGAGAAAACGGGCAGTTTGAGATATATAGATTGATAAACAAGTTCGACATAATGTTCTACTGCATGTAGTGCTTTATGAAACCCACTTGTTGAAACCAAAAATTACGCCGGGTGAATATCAAAAATTTTTAATCACTTACTTTTAACGTGTATTTTTGTCCAGTAAGAATTTCAGGGGCCTGAAAGAAATGAGTTATGGACGATGATGGTTAGAAAATATACTGCATAATTTATATATTTAAAGTTCAATAATATACAAAAACAAATTACTCGATTGAGTGCAATTTTATCGAAATACAGTGGCAAAAAAAGAAATACAAGATATTCTGAATAGTCTCAAATTTTGACGTTGAAAACTTGTATTAAGAATTGAGTACCCTACATTCTCGCGTGTAGAATAAATATTCGTGGATTTTTTACACAAGCTGTGAAAGTATTTTTAGTGTTTTCTGGGGTTTATCTCTGAAAGAAGATGCCACGCAGTGTTTCTTAAATCGTACAGTACGTAGTTCAAATAAAAAGGTAAGTGTGTTGCTAACTATAGTTCTTAAGCTTTTGTTTAGTATGTTTTTTACCTATTAACGTTCAATATTGGCCTTGTAAATGTTTAAAAAATCCTTGACTTATCAAACAATGACATAATAAATAAATATTACTATAATGTAACGAATGCTATAAGTCAGCAAGGTTCATTGTATAATATTATCCTTTTAAATTAATGGATAACCTTTCACAGGATAACCTTACTTCAAAACAATGATAGTCCAGACAAATTATGGAAAGCACACTTTTCAATTTGTTGCATCAAAAATATGGGAGTCTATTGACTTGAAAATAAAAAGTTCGTCTTCATTTGAAATCTTTAAGAAAAGATATAAAGCTGCCCTTCTATACAAAATCAATGAAAAATGTTATTGAGACTTGAGTCTATATGTGTATGTATATTATATATGTGTATATGTATGTGTATATGTGTACATATGTATCGGAGTGTCTTTATTTAAGCTCAACCATATAAAATAATCTATATGATCGAACGTAGGTAGTGATCAACTCGAAAGTTTATGCTCCTTTGATCACTACGCACCTTCACGTTATCAAATTAACTTGAAATTATTCATTCAAAACATAATTATTTGTAAAATTTTGTATACATTTTCTTTGTTTTGTAAATAGTGCAGTTCCTGAATAAATCTCTATAACAGAAACTGTAGCAGTCGGTAGGGAGCCTCCTTAAGTAGTTTTGCCATTCAAATAAATGAGTATAAATACCCCTACAGAAGTGCTTACGTTATGCAATTTTCAACCCGTTAAAATATTAGGTTTTCACAATGTATGTAATTTGGGATATACATGTGAGTCAAATAGTCATTTCTATTTTTGATATGTTTCTCAAGCGGCAAAGAAACTTAAAAGGATGTTTAGTGCTTTATCTGTAAAATAATGCTAAAATCAGTGGCGGCGCCTTTGACTTCAATATTCCTGAAGTAATAATTCCTTTAGGCAGCTGTTCATCAATGTAAAGTCATAGTCAATAGAATAAGAAAGTTAGGAAACTCGATGGAGACATAATATAGCCTCATCTATGTTTTTGTCTTGGTTTATGCAGAAAATGACGACGAACCGTTCGTTCCTTGCATAAACCAGACAAAAACATACATAAGGAGGTCTATTATGTTTGCATCGGGTTCCCTAACCTTTTTCTATTGACTATTATGTAATACTATATTTGCAGGTTTTATATATACGTATATATATATATAATCATGGAAAAATCGTGTGATTTGTTTATTTTACAATCTTCGGAATTCTGTATAATCGTACCGTAAAAATGCAGGAAATCGTATTTCAGGGACTCTAGATTTCAAAAATTTTCCCCGGACCCCCCTAGAAGTGCCTCGTGCATTCGCCGCTCAAAAATCCACCCCACTTTTAAAAGGCTGGCGCCGCCACTGTCTAAAATGAAGAGATTTTAGAGGGTACGCCAAACAGAAAATGATGTCAATTTAATTAGTATGTTTTGCTTATATATTATTAAGTTAACGTAGATGAAAACATATCCAGGTTGAGCTTGCTTACCAAGTAGTATTGAGTTCCAACAAAAGAGTGCCATAATCCTGCTTGATCAGCTTGTTTAGCATAACCCAGGTCGATCACCTTATAAATATTCTTTAACAAAAATTAAAAAGAGTATTTTGAGCAATTGCTGCGCGTATATAAATTAAACTGACATTTTTAAAACTGATATCTCAAACATAGGGGGTTCAGTCTAGGTATAGTATTGTGCAATAGGCTGTCATGGTTTATGTCTGAACTACCTGAAAAAGATACATCAAACGTTGTGGTACAGTGTTGGTATTCTACAATAATTAAGCTGCTGTGGTTTTGTCCTGAAAAAGATATCTCAAACGTGGTGGTCCAGTGTAGGTATAGTATTCTACAATAAACTGCCATGGTTTGTGTCTGAAGTATCCGAAAAAAATATCTCCAACGCGGTGATCCTAAACAATATCTCAAACGTGGTGGTCTAGTGTCACTGGGGAAAAAATTTGAAATCCATACTATGAGATTTGCAATTGCACCACTAAATGCATAGTATATCCATACTATTTCGATACATTATAGTATGGAAATATAGAATTATTAAGGATAATCAAAAATCCATTCTATTTCCAATAAAGGTCCATACAATTTCCATTCTATGCATGATTTTCAAATTTTTTTCCAGTGTGTATAAGTAGTATTCTACGATAAGCTATCGTGGTTTGTGTCTGATATATCTAAAGAAGATAACTCAAATGTGAAGGGTTCAGTGTATAGGCAGTATTCTACAATATTAGAATGTTAGGGTTTGTAATCCAAGTGAGTATATATACATCTTAAGACCTGACCAGGAACGACTGCGAAAAATGCAGCACAAGGTCCTCTGGTAGGAATTGAACCTACGGCCCTGCGATTCCGGTGCAGCGCTCTAACCAACTGAGCTACAGAGGCCAGCTGTTGAGCTGTAACCGTAAGTTCATTTATATATACATGAATATATAGCCTATACATCAAACGTAGTGATAGAATGAACTCATAAATTACTTACTTTACTACCGCTTTGGCATATGACAATATTTTCAGGCTTCAAATCTCGATGAGCGATGTTTTCCTTGTGTAGACATTCAATTGCATTTGCTGGTAAGATAAAACATCAGATGTTTTAGGTGATAAAAAAAGAAAATGTTTTTCACAAGAAGCAAATGTTTTTCACAGATAAAACGAGTCATGAATTTTCCTACCAATATCTTCACAAACTCTAATAATCATCGTCTCTTTCAGACCACAGCAATTTTCTGTCGTACTTAATGTCTGGAAAAGACAATAATTAACCATTAACCCACCAAAATCTAAGTACAGTACAGTACCATGTCACACACCATTCCACATGCACCTTCTCCCATCTCATCTACTGTATCTCATGCAGTAAATGTGGCATGCTTTATATTGGAGAAACTGGAAGATTTTTGAGGACAAGGTTTGAACATCAGTGCATGCTGTCATTGGCAATGATGCTAATCAATGTGTTGCCAGACATTTTAGTAGTGGCAACGACAGTGTTTTGGATATGAAAATGACACTGGATTTTGAACTAAATAAGACCAAAAAATCTCAAAATTTCTTGTGGCTTCGCCCCACTTTCCGCAAGCTTTTCTTCCGTTAGCGACTCATCTTCCCCTGAATTTTTAGCACCCTTTCCCCAAAGCGAAATCGGAAAATCCGCCGATGAAAAAACCTGCAAACCATCCTGATCAACTTTCGGTACTTTTTCACTGCCAAAGTTTCCGGATATGATGTCATTAATGGATGAATCATAGATTAGTTTTCCAACACATTTGACGAATGATTTATTAAAGCTTTTACGAAATACGTTTAATTCGTTGCATGGCTATATTAGTAAAACAGTCTCGTAACAGCCTTGTAACACTGCAATTTACGAGTTTCTGTTCAGAACGTCGGTACTTTAGTACGCATCTTGCGAAGTTAGCTTTACAAGCTTCACGCCCAATAAGTAATTCTTCGTACAGTAGGTTTGCATTGGCGATAAAGCATTTAATACTGCTTGATATTATTAGCACTGATGAAGATCCGGGCTTACGGATCGAAAGCTTTGAAGTAACAAATTTACGTGGTGTTTCCACAAACAAAAAGTATCATATTTCACGCCCAATATTCCAAATTTAGAAAGTTGACGTACAGTATATTGGGAACATTCACAGACTTCATAACAAACTTGGGAAGGCTTTGAAAAGTGATCTGAAATCGACAATAAAATTTGTCATGACTGACTTACTGACCAAGCAACTTACAGCATGGTGATTATACTGTACCTTACGTAAATCCCCTCCTTCACAATATTCCATACACAAAGCAGGCAAAAACTTCATACGACGTCCTTCTTCCACTAACTCCTCTGGTAATGGCCGGGTTTCAATGATATTTGGATGTTTGATCCTTTTGAGAAATTCCACCTCTTGTCTCCATCGTTCTCGATTCTTCTCGCTTAATGGCGGATCGTTACGACATGTTTTCAGTGCAATTTTCGCCTTCGTTACCTGAAAATAATGTCACAGACTGAGGCGCAGAGCTTGAAATTTGACGTATCAATGGAATACCAGATTTGAAATTGCCAAGAGCTTTCGTAATTCCGTGTCTTCAGTAATTCAATTATTAACCTGTTAAGGCGACTCAATACAGTTTTTAAAAAATGGAAAATTTACAAAATTTTAGATTCGTATTTTTGGACCTTTTTGGTGTATTATACATTAATTACTTGTTGAAAAACAAAAAGTACCTTACTGATGTAAAACAACATCTACAGTAAAGGGTTTGAATTTTTTCGCAAAAATTAGACAACTACCGTTGCTACAGGTATGTATGGCAACAATAATGTTTTGGTTTTGAAGTACTTCAACTCGGTGACTCCCAAATTTTATTTCATAAAATGATTTCCTCTAACATACTCAACTATTTTGACAATTTAAAAAAATTCTGTGGAGCCAACAGAACGAGAGTGATGGCGCTCAATGGCTTAACCTGCCTATGTGTCTAGTTAAACTGATAAAGTTGTAATGCGCCAAATTGTGTCCAACTCTATATACGAGGTTGAACTCTATCATTATCAGAGAAATTAGGGTTGGGTAAACAACATTTTGAGTGACTAAAAGGTTGGGTAATTGAAAAACAAAACAACTCAAGGATTCTGTGTTTGAATAATTAGACCATATAGGCTTAGTATAAAAAGATTATTTTAATAACTACGTTTCGGAGTATAACTCCATCTTCAGGTTAAAAGATACTTTTAACCTGAAGATGGAGTTATACTCCGAAACGTAGTTATTAAAATAGTCTTTCTGTACTAAGCCTATATGGTCTAATTATTCAAACACAGAATTACTAAAATGAGGCTTAGAGAAAGTTCCGTCACACAAGATTTGAAGAAACTCAAGGATTGGATTAATAAAAATGTGTTTTTGACTCACTCAAATATTGAAGACTAACAGCCATGTCAACAGTCATATGTCAATACAATATATTGTAAATCAATCAGAGTCACTATCTTGATCATTTTTCGATTTGTCAGGAAGTGAAAGAAAGAAAGTACATACACAGAAAACATGAGATTTAGACTGCAGAAAATTGCACATTCAAGCAGTTAACAAACTCATGTGACAAAGGTAGTAAAGCAGGGTTTTTTTCAGGGATTTTTTAGGGCTGTTAAACGGCCCCAAAAACCCAATCTTGAATTGAGTTTTGAAACTCAATCTTCTCACCAAAGTTTCAGTGCAGTAAAAATGAAGTTGTTTGAGTTAAATTTCGTGACGTGTGGAAATTAGTTTTCAGTTGGAAATCCGACAATTAAGAAAAAATGGCTGGAATTCATCTCACAACACAAGAAAAACTATGCATTCGCCATCTTTAACCAGTTTATAGTGTCCCTTAGTGGCCCTGCTTTAACACATTCCGTCTCAACTACATTTATTGATTACAGGTGTCAGCCCCCCGGTAGGGGTGGGGGGGGGGGTGCAGCCACCCCAGCTGTTCAGCTAAACTCAATCTTCTCTGCAAAAACGGACCCAAGAGAAAATCCTGAAAAAAACCTGTAAAGGACATGTGTAACAACTGAGTAGTATCCTTCCTTTCGTAAAGTTTTTGGGTAGTTATTTTTTTAATCGATATTTGAGGTTGGTTAAAACTTTTTTTGACTTTTTAATGATTGGATCAGCATTCAGCAATAAATAAGGACCAATCCCTTACTCATAAAGAGGAGAGTCTTGTGTCCTAATGGGTAGGGGTGGAAAAAATAGGCAAGCACGCGAGCACTACTCGCAGCAAATGTTAAAGAGGCTGTCAAGTCTGTTCTGCTCATGCGCGTGTTTTGTTTACATTTTTGTTTCAAACAATAGATAATTTAATTAAAATTCCGATCTGTGGGCCTCCAAGTTAGCTCATTATGCATTCAGAATATATCACAAGGAAGAAATTGAACTACTAAAGCAAAAATTTAGCACGAAAACAACAAATTTTAAATCGAAAACGCTAAGAAGCACTTCTTACAGAGGTCTGGACAAAATTTGATTGCAATTTGTACACATTTTGTCCATACCTTTGTATAAAGATGTGTTTAAATTATCTATTGTTTGACACAAAAAATGTAAACAAAACATGCGCATGAGCAGAACGCCGACTTGACAGCCTCTTTAAACAGCTACAGAAAATTTGTCTGAATGAAGATTTGCTATTTTGCTATTGAAAATCCCATGTCCCACGTGCAACAACATATGGTTGACTGACTAATTTCCTTGAATTTAAAACCATGGTCACAGGGCTCGAAACTTGCGGTATCCCGATATCCACAGGATATCAGATTTTAATTTTGGATACTGGGTATCATAAGCTCAGTATCCCAACTGGATACTAGGGAAACTTAGAAATTGCTATAGTAGATATAATCATCTAGACATTTGGCATGTTTCCGAACTTCAATGTCTACGGATTTTGGCAGAATATTTAAAAAAAAATTTCACAAACGGTGCTTTCTTTCGTATCGTCGCAGTGTGTTATTTTCAATTTTTTCGAATTTCAATACATATTTTTATTATTGAAACTTATAAAGGCCTGGTTTTTGCTCAGCAACTGAAGGCCTGGTTGCAAGGTAAAATTTTGCCTTGCTTAGATACTGGAAATAGAATATCTAGTATCCAAATCTGGGTTACTATATTTCAAGGATGGATACTAGATTCTATGATGCTGGTATCCACTTGATATGGATACTGACAAAAATTTCCAGTTTCGAGCCCTGGGTCAGCTACAACACTTAAGCTATATATAATTATGTATATGCACTGTATGCAGATTTAGCACAAAAATACTCTGTTGGTCTGCAGGAAACTTTTGTCTCCAGTTTGTGCTCCCAGGAAGAAAATTCTTTTTTCGGCCTGCCCTGCTAATGGGTTCAATAGAACACCTACCTCATTATGCCAGAGTTTGACCATGCCAAACGTTCCAGAGCCAAGATAACCACTTTCAATCCAGTCGCCAATCTTGCGTCTTTCAGCCATTTATATGCCACTTTTTATTTCTGATGGGAACTCGGCATGACTGACTTTAAGAGAAAACACAGGAAAAAATCGGTGGAAATTCAAACTAATGCTAGAGTTAGTTGAAATGTTGAATCCTGTTTATTATGCCATTTATACAAGAAGACAATTTAATTTGTTTTTCATTTTGTTTGTCAGGAGGATCATTGTGTGACACTACATATAAGCTGAGCACTTTGAACAGTTCTTCATAGAGTTTTAGAGTCTCCCCATGAAGAGGCACTTTCTTAGTATGAACATTATATCACTGAGAAACAAAGACAAGTTTTGACATTCCAAAGATAATGAAACTGTATGCTATGCAAACACAATAAGGCATCTAGGTCCAACTATTTGGTCAAAACTCGATAATGAAACCAGAATTAGAAATATGGACATCTTGAGTATAACAGACATGCATGCAATAATATTAATTTTAACTGCAAACTCTGCAGCTCATGATATAGGTACAGTAGTTTTGAATTTTAGCAAAGCAAATGGACAAGCATGCTAGGATACATGTTAGTAGATCAGGAAATGACTAAAGAACATGGGATAAGGCAAGAACTCTAAGACAACTGTGCAGTAAAAAACAATTACAGTGCAACTTAAGGCACAAAGTATTTCTCTGACTTCCACAATTCTTAGCCTCATGTACTAGAAATACATTCATGCAGCAACGCCTCGTCTATATTTTCCAAACATTGAATTAACATGAAGCGTTAGTAATTGGGCAATGTTCACTGAACACAGGCTTGTGTTGTGTGTTGCCATAGAGACACAATCATTTTATAATTTTAATTTTTTTCTGTACAAAATGGGAAAAAATAGTTGAAAGATTAGTACTTTTTGTATATTTTTGTTGTATAGTTAAAAGTACAGCCATATTTTTGAGATCAGTGAGGAGGTCCACCTACACACCCATGACACGACTTTAGACTTCGCTAATGCTTTTCCCGGGTTTAAATAGCCGAGCGTAATTAGTACCCTCAAGCATAATTAGTACCCTCGCCCCGGGCATACAACCATAATGGTGCTTCATGCTGTTGGCTCGGGGATTAATTAAAGGCATCAATATGAGAAGCAGGTGTCCAAAAGTCTTTCAAATACCACATCCAAGTTCAAAGATAGCTGTACAAAACACAGCTAGATAGCTGTTACCCACCCACTTGTTGCATCGAATCCTATTTCAAATATGTATCCTCTATATATGCTTCCATGCAATATAGGAACTGCATGAGGTCGTGAGCAATGTAAATTATAACAATGACGAAGCACAATATATTATACTAACTGTAAACCTCCAAATATAAAATACAAAACAATAACTCCAAAAATCGATAACATTTCTATTTATCATTTTTATTTATTTTGATAAATAAAAATGTTAGTGATTTTTGGAGTTTCACTTGTTTTGTATTTTATTAAAATACTCAGTGGTTCTAAAAATTCTCCAAATATAAGCCCCCAAAATATAAACCCCTCCCCGGTTTAAAAACATTGTCATTGTCTTTATAGCTTACTATGTTAATCAAAGCGCATTATTATGTTTATTTTCTTGTTTATGATCAACTTGTTTATTACTAGCACAAAGGATCGCCAATATATAAGCCCCCCCCCCCTTGTATAAGCCCATCAAAAATCGCTTACGAAAGAATATAAGTCCAGGGCTTAATATAGTTGGAGATTTACGGTATACATTTACATTCTCTGAAATATATCACTCAAATCTTGAGAATATATACAATAAATATATACAATAATATCATTCTACATAACACTAAAATACTGCATGATCAATACTGATAAGTTGACTAATATTTTGACACACGACTTATATAATTGCAACTCTTATTTTCAAGTACAAAACAAACAAACGACCAAAACAGAACAAACAACAACATAACGAAACCAAAAAGTCTAAAATCCAAGCAGACAAACAAGCTAAACAACAAATGCTAATACCTTAAAACATATTTTCCAGATCATTTCGACGTTTGAAATTGGCCCATGTTTTCACAATGCAAAACGTTAGGCCATTTTAATCCTACTTGGCGATTCTCAACAAAACATCTAGGCAAATTGAAGGCTCGATTGAAGGTATATACGACCCCGTAGCTGTCCTTGACGGAAACGTTCACGAATTTTATGGCAAAACAACGCCAGTATCGCATTACATCTGAACAAAATCACTTGAAACTTGCTAAAAATACCAAGAAATTATCCACACCGGAAGTTGGGAAGGAGGAATTTGACCGGAAGTAAAATAGAATTTAGCCCGCTGATCTCTAAAAATATTGGAATATGGAAGTGAGTCCACAATATCATTGACGTCCAATAAATCCAATAGCTTTGAAAGTCGTTTTCCCCAGCTAATTTCAGATTTTTCTAACGGACCGTATCGCTAACCAAGTTACCAGTTCATAAAACCATAGTGTCAATATTCTTTAATTTAAATCGATGTCAAAATACGAAATTTCGGCACACTCCTTACCAAGATGACGGAGATTGAAGCAGCTATTGGACGTCAGTTCTACTCCCTTTCCGTTGCTTTTGCCTGTGCGGTTAACACGAAGCTGGCTTCAGTTTTTGGACTCGAGTTCTCGCTGCAGATATATAAAAAACTCACAGGAATATGTTTCATTTTTTTCGAACTACCCATTCGCAGGCTAAAACCCAAAAATAGCCTATCATTTGGAATGCTGCAATGCTGTCCTGGTCAGTGTGCTTATGACAGGCATTCACGCCCTGAAAATATTCAAAATGACGGACGTACAGGGGGCATGCTTCTTGTTAGCGCACTGGCGATGACACCATTTTGATGAAAAATTATTGTGAATCATTGAATTCCAAGATTGAATCATTGAATCCTAAGATGGGATAATATAGTCCTATGTTTGAGTCATTTAATCCTAACATTGAATAATTGAATCCTAAAATGGAATTATTATATCCTAAGATTGAATCATCGAATCCTACGATTGAATCATTGAATTCTAAGATTGAATCATTGTATGCTAAGAGTGAATAATATAATCCTGTGTTTGAATCATTGAATCCTAAGAGTGAATCATTGAATCCTAAGAGTGAATCATTGAATCCTAAGAGTGAATAATTGAATCCTAAGATTGAATCATTGAATAAGTACTAGATTGGATCATTGAATCCTAAGATTGAGTTATTGAATCCTATGTCTGAATCATTGAATCCTAGATTGAATCATTGAATTCTACGATTGAATCATTGAATCCTAAGATTGAATCATTGAATTCTACGATTGAATCATTGAATCCTAAGATTGAATCATTGAATCCTAAAAGTGAATCATTGAATCCTATGTTTGAATAATTGAATCCTAAGATCGAATCATTAAATACTAGATTGGATCATTGAATCCTAAGATTGAATCATTGAATCCTAGATTGAATCATTGAATCCTACGATTGAATAATTAAATTCTAAGATTGAATCATTGTATGCTAAGAGTGAATAATATAATCCTATGTTTGAATCATTGAATCCTAAGATTGAATTATTGAATCCTATGTTTGAATCATTGAATCCAAAGATTCAATCATTGAACCCTACGATTGAATAATTTAATCCTAAGATTAAATCATTGAATCCTAAGATTAAAATATTGTAATTTTTTATATAAACAATATTTTATTGAGCACGATTGCTCCAAAAGCTACATAGCTTATCGAGGGGGAGCATTGAACCACGACATGAGACTTGAGGCGGCCATATTGATGTGACTTCATTATTTATTCACTGGCAAATTTCAGAAAGAAGCTAGAGAGACCACTAATAACTAATTTATTATTATTATTTTTATTAAAACTTGATTTTCACGCGGAGTCCATTTTACAAAATGTGCTCTTCCATGGAGCCGTGTACACTAAAATATATACATAGTACAATTACAGTTTGTTTTTAAATTTAGAACGCGTGTAGCATTTACAGCTTCGACAAGTAGGCTATACGTAAAACCTTTCTTAAGGTGGGGTTCTACCTGAAATGACAGATTTCGGACTCTCCCATTTCACAAACCTATTACTTGCCATCTGTTTGTGCTAACTGCACAAAACTATATATCACTAGAAAGCTTATTAGACAAGGAGTTCAAATATACTAATTTCATTCCCATACCTCATATATTTACGATTATAGCATTCTTTGAATCTAACCATTCTTCACCAAAATTGCCTTACGCTGGGTTCAAGATATCTCTTGATGGTTTTAACTCATGTCTACTTTTATGTGCTTTTTGTGCACTACAAAGGAGGTAGATTAAATTAAGTAATGGCATTTTTGATATTGCAAGTAGTTTTTTTGCAAAATCATTCCAAACTATTGGTTAAATTTATGAGGAAAATTTTGACATATTTTCCTTTCTCAAATGGTTGCATTATACCCTATGACAAATTCTATTACTCAATTTAATCTACCTCCTTTGTAGTGCACAAAAAGCACATAAAAGTAGACATGAGTTAAAACCATCAAGAGATATCTTGAACCCAGCGTAAGCCAATTTTGGTGAAGAATGGTTAGATTCAAAGTATGCTATAATCGTAAATATATGAGGTATGGGAATGAAATTAGTATATTTGAACTCCTTGTCTAATAAGCTTTCTAGTGATATATAGTTTGTGCAGTTAGCACAAACAGATGGCAAGTAATAGGTTTGTGAAATGGGAGAGTCCGAAATCTGTCATTTCAGGTAGAACCCCACCTTAAGCGACTCAGTCGAAGGTCGTCACTTGGGGGAAAAAGCTTTGAATCAGAGTGACACAAATTGTAGTTGTGCATTACATTAGTTGGTGTGAATTTGCTTGAAAGAGAGTCGGGCAACATTTTGTTAATTGTTTTATACATTAAGAACCCAAATTGCTGAGAACGTACTTTCCCTAGGTTATCCCAGTTTAGCGAGTTGAAGATCTGAGCTGAACGAACATTCAGTAGTCGGGACCCTGTAATAATTACGCAGCTCTATTTTGTAATTAATTTGTGAAGCGTGCATCCCAAGACCTCCCCAAAATTGCCCCAGACTCCACTGAAATAAACAAAATGTGGTTGGATCAACGACTCAGTTACAAATGATGACGAGAACTGATAGGCAATTTCTCTCTAGGCAAAATTTTTTCATTCCTACAAACCATTAGAAAATATTAGAACTCCTTCTGACATGTCAGCAAACATCACGGCGGTATATTAGCGGTAGTCACACCAACATGACACAATTGCATTCATATATGCATAGCAGAAACTCTATCCAGTCTTGGGAAAAGTGTCTATAACAATTTCGATTAATAAAGAATATATTGACCAAGCTAAGGGACGGACCATTATTTTTTTGGAGAGGGGGGGATGGAAAATTCTTTAAAAAATTGTTTGTAAAGACAAAAAAGTGCAAATAAATTGTTTGCACACATAAAGAAGAGGAAAAAATAGTTTGCCAGCTAATGAGATTATGCAACATCAACTAAAGTTTAATACAATGAACAGAGCGCTCACCGACATACCCAGGGTCTTCACCCCAAAAGCCCTGGGATGAGAGACGCTGGGCACATGTCACAATCTACATATGGGTTATAAATATTAATCTATTGAATACAGTCATTTTTGGGTTATTTTTTTCTGTATTTTTTGACAAGTACTGGTGTAAGACATTGTGTGGCGTAAATAATGAGAGGACCAGTATCAAGGCCTTTTTTAACATACAAGCCGGAGGGGGGGGGGGAATATCCCCCTTATGCCCCCCACAAAATCACATCCCCTCCCAGGAAAAGTCCCTTTTTCCTAAATTTAAACAAACAAACCAGCAAAAAATAACAAATTGATAAATAAAAAGTAAGTTTTAGGCTTTGTCCTTGTTTAACAAAATCAATTTAAATTATGTTTTTCTACCACTAAGTAATGATAAATTATTGTTAATAATTTTTTTATTTTTTGTGCGTTTTTTCCTTCTTTTATTTCAAATACAAGTATACTTAGCATAAATTTTCTTGGGGAATATGCCTCCAGACCCTGTGGCCTTCAGCCATTCCTATCCCCCTTTAATATATATCTCACAGAAGGGTCCCTTTTCAAATAATGCCGCCCTCCCCCACAGGAAAATCCTTAAAAAGGTCCTGACCAGAAAACCTAAAAAAACTATTAAATGTCTGTTTACATATTAAATTTATTCTTCTGACAACACCACATTTTGTTTGATCACACATGCGATAGTGTAATCGGGCACAAATTAATGACTATATACATCAATTTATAATGAAATTCACAGCGATCAGATGGACAAAATAAATTGTTTGCAGAAGGAAGCAGGCGCAAAAAAAATTGTTTGCAACAACACAAAAAAAATTGTTTGCGTTGACGAAATGTCCACCCCCCCCCCCTCCAAAAAAATAATGGTCCGTCCCTAAGAATACAACATTCCATTTTTTGAAAAAAGGTAAAAATGTCCTTTTCGTCGATAACATTTTTTATTATTTGTATAACGAAAGACTTTCGCAGTACAATACAACATGCAAAATTTGAACGCAGGTCATCGGACAAAATAGTGAGAGATGCGAGAATCAATTGGAAACTTTTCAGTTTGATGTCCATGCTATCAATTCTTGCATGCCTCCCTCTTTGCGCACCGTTAAAAAAACCCAGCCCATGCAGCGATGAACCATGGATCACTCCCATTATCAAGGAAACTATTAAAATACGACAGCAAGCTTGCATGGGTTAAGAACGACTCTCATCAATATAAAGTTTACCAGAACAAGGTGATAAAACTATGCAAAAAAGCCCGGCAACGATTCTGTGAAGATAAAATTAGCCATACACACGAAGCCAACCCCTAAAAGTGGTGGGATAGCATCGAAATGTTGTCTCGATTATTTTCTGGTTCTGAAAAAGATAGGGCTACGTCCCCAGGTTATGGAAAAGTGCCGATGTTTTACCACTTGGGAAGATTCCCCAACCGAAGTCTATCGAGTCCGACCTGAGACCAATATCCCTGACCTGTGTTAAGTAAAGTCCTTGAGGGCTTTGTTTCCAATTGGCTAGGTCCGATCGTAATGCTTTATATTGACCCCTCCCAATTTAGAAATGTAAAAAGATCGTCTACAACCCTTATACATCTCGTCCATTATTGGCTTTCTGCTCTCGAACAACCCAACACCCTAATTCGAACCTGCATAATAGATTTTTCGAAGGCT